CCTCTCTCAATTACCATTTGCACTTCCAGCCACCCTTGGGCACTGTGAGCAGTGGGGGATCCAGACAGTAGGTGTGGTAGCTGATATCACAATCATCGCAGAGCAAAAGGCGAGAGGGGTCAGACGCCTGGCCACACACTTCACATACGATGCATTCCACACACCTCCAGCCCTTCAGCAGCATCACCTTGGTAATCTAGAGGATGGAAAATGACCTTTTCAGGAAGGAGCATGGAAGAACACTACCTCATGGAGACCGAAACCAGACCCATCACAACAAGCCCTAGCCCACCAGACCAGCATTCACAGCCTATGAATGAAGGTCTCTTCACATACTGGCGGATCATCTTTAGCGGGTCATGCTTAAACCCTCAATGGTGAATCTCCATGGAAGGGTACAGCTGATTTAAAGACCTCTAAGACAATATCCCACCACCAACAACCTCATCTAAGACAAGCAGGAACTTAAGAAATGCTTGAATGACTGTCTGCAAAACTTTAGTTAAGATCAAACATTCTCATGCTTCTTAAAAACCTATAAACTTGGGGCCGATAGGTGGCGCAGTGCATAGAGCACCGGCCCTGGAGTCAGAAGGATCCGAGTTCAAATCTGGCTTCAGACACTTGACACTAGCTGTGTGACCCTAGGCCAAGTCAGTTAACTCCAATTGCCTCACCAAAAAACAAAACAAAATAAAACAACCTATAAAGTTAAAACCACCTAACACCTCCTCCCCAAGTCCTGTTCTTTCCGTCTTCACTTCCCTCTTTCTCCCTATCTTTCAGAAGTCCCTACCCTGTGAAGCCAACAAGATTGGGGTAGAAGCTGTGAACTTCTCCATTGAAGAGAATTTCACTATTTAACTAGCGTGAACTACAGTCTAAACGACTCAACCCAACATTACCCCTGGGTGAGACAAGTTAGGTGAGCCTCCATCCCCCAATTTTTGTCCCTCTGTCCTCTCTGCTCTGGGCCTGGACTCACCTTGCTGTTGACACAGTAAGGATGGTAGCACTGTGAACACTGAGAGCAGGCCAGGAGGTGGCCCTCTGCCCCTCGACCAAAGCTACCACACACTACACACATGTCCTGGAAGAAGACACACAGACAGACAGATGAGTGGCACCTCTAGCTACACGCCAGTTTTTTTCATCCCATTCCGTATCATTCTCCTATCCTGTTCCTCCTGAGACACCAAGCCGAGAAGCAGTGGCGTATCAATGATGACCTTGGGCAAATTGCTTTACCACTGCACCTCACTGGGATCCAAGGAATTTCAGAGATCATCGAGGTCAGAGGTTCTAGGACGTACGAACTTGGTTTTTTAACACTGGGATGGCTGTATTTCCATATAACTGGTTTCCTTTGTAATCCTATATTATCTGGTTTTACACATTTAAAAACATGATTCTGAGAAAGGGTTTCTGACCCACCAAAACAGTAATAACCTCTCCTCCTCTGGTGTTCCCTTCATTTCAGAAGAAACTGAAGCCCAGAAAAAGGAAGTGCCAAAGGTCACCCAGAAGCAGAGCAAGGATCCAAAATTCAGTTTCCTCAACTACAAAATGAGGGCATCAGACTAACCTTACCTACCTTGGGGCCTTTTTCCCAGTTATCATTTAGGGAGATTTGTGGGAATCTCTTCTAATTTTTAGAAACCATTTTTCGTTACAGACTCTCCTCTACTTTTCTTCTACCATCAACTCAATCTTCTTCCCCTATACCCCTGCTAATCCCTAATTCTCCTTTCCTTCTTACTACCCAATGGCCTCCCTTCTCCCCAGCTCACCTTCTCCATTTGTTTAAGTGACTGGAATATTTAGAACCTGCTATCAGACAGCAGGGATCTCATACAGAAGATCATGTTGGGAAACTGGAATGTACTCCAAAATGGTCACTTCCTCATCACCATTCAGGCTCAAACGTAACGACTGAGGCTGTGACTGCCTACCTTTTCTATTTCCCCCTGGCCTGCTTCCCTGGGGCAGGCCCTGGGTCTCCCTTAATGCCCTTCCCCCTGACCCCCAAATGTTTCTATAGTACCATGTACCACTGCAGACAATGGGACCATACAAAGTACAGTACCTGCATTAGGACAAATTTGTCGGTGTTGGAGAAGAGAACCACAGTATTCTGCATGGTGTCATCGTCTTCCTCCTCCTCCTCCTTGCTGGGAGAGCTATCAATGTCTGCAACCTGAGAGGCCAAGGGAGGAAAGGAGGGTGAGCCACACTAACCCCATCCCAACCAATCTTTCTCCTCCCTGGGGCAATGGGGAGTGAAGTTTGGGCCACTGCAGAAGGGACAGGTCAGAAGCTGGGACCAAGAGGGCTCTATCTCTCCACCCTGAACAACAGAGAATTTTGCCAGCGGGATTGGCTCCCTTAAAAGCCAAGTGGCCTAAGGGAAAGGGAGGGTGGAATGATGGAAGGCAGGTAGCTTGTTGCCTCTAAATCTGAGAAAAGGAAATGGCTGTGTGGAAGGTGTGGAATCTAGGGATGAGTATAATCAGGGTGGCGGCCAGAAAGAGACCGCTCCTTACTACCAGAGTCTCCACAGAGGAAGTGGTTGACTTCAGCCGGGCACGTCCTCTCCCCCTTCCTCCATGGGCACCCCCCCGAGGTCGACGTCTTCCTGGGAAGCTACTGCTACGGCCCTGGGCAAGAGAAGGAATGGGCAACATGGGTGGTTCAGAGAGTTCAGGGGCTTGTGCCCTGGACCCAAGGGGTTGGCAGGGAAAGGTCATTAGAGCACTGCTATGAATGTGAGGAGAGAGGACAACAGGGACAGCTAGGGGCCTGGTGGCCTGACCAGGGGAAAGAGTAGAATCAATTCCAAAACTGTGAAGGAAAGGGTAGCGCCAAGCTTCCCTCTAACTTTTCTCGGGTTTGGTATCTCCTGACAGGCTAACTCCACCCAAGAACAGCACTAAATTGTAGCCATGAACCTCCAGGAGGGAAGGTAGCTGCTCTGTTCCCACTTCTCTCACCTGTTTGATACGGGAGCGGGCAGGGGAGCTTCGTCGTCTCCCCTTGTCGCCCTCAGCCTTGCCGCCAGCTCCAGTTGCTCCAGAATCACAAAGTAAGGAGTCATCAGTCTCGGGCAGTGAGTCGGTACAGAGCCGAAGGGAGCCCTCATCCCGTGCAGGGCTGACGTCAGTGGACACACCTAGCTCCATGGAGAGCGAGCCACCCCCCTCAGGGTCTGGGGAGCCCAGCAGAGGCTCAGAACCTGGGAAGCTGGCACTGGCATCACCTTGGCTCAGGTTAGAGATCTCATTGACGATGTCGGACTTGATGAGGGCGGGAGGGGTATGCACTGGTGGGGCAACTGGCTCCTCAGGCTCTTCACAAGGTGAGCTCTGCCCAGCCTGCTTGCCATCAGAACCATAGACCTCCATAGGGGTCACAGGGGCCAGCTCCTCAGGGTCAAGGAGCAAAGGGGAGCCTTTAGGATCACTACCTGAACTGCCAGAAGTCTGTCCAGTCTCTGGCTCTGGACCAGTAGCCTCCGTCTCATCGAGACAGACTGTGTCCTCACCCAGGCTGGAAAAGACATCCAGGGCTGGAGCAGGGCTGGGGGCAGGACAGGAGAGGTCTCCTGTAGGACAGGCTGGGGGGCTGATCCCACTAGGCTCCAGAGCTGGGCACTCTGGCTCTGTCTCCATCTCCTGTGACTCAGACTCATCTAGGACTTCTGGTGCCTTCTCCAGGAAGCCCAGGGGAGAAGGGGCTAATGGCAGAGGGGAGCACTGGGGAGGAGGGGGCTCTAGAGGAATGGGAGAATTCAGTTCTCCCAGTTCTTCAGGGGAGGCTGGAGAAGGGGTCAAGTCTATAGGAGCTATGGGCTCTGGTTCAAAGCAGCTGGCTTCTGGAGGGGGGCTGATGGGCGTGTCTAGGATAGGGACCTCTGGAGGAGTCCCTGGCTCACTGTCCCCTTTGGCATCAGGGAGCTCCTCTTGCTCCCCCAAGGGAGACAAGGATGGTGGGGCTACAGCAGTGGCAGGAGAAAGTGGAGGAGGGGGAGGATCTGGAGAGGAAAAAAATAAAGCAAGACTTTAGAGATGCAGGATCCCTAGGGACAAGAATGATAAATGTTCAAACTATGTTTTAAAGTTTGTAAACCATTTTCTTGACAAAGTAGCTAGAAAACTATTACTGGCCTCATCTCAACAGATGATGAAACTCAGGTAAAGAGAAATCCAGCGGTGTGCCCAAGGTCACAGAGTTAATGACTGTCAAGAGGCAGAATTTAAAGCCAGGTTTTCTGACTCTCCATCCTGCACTCACTTCACTGTAACCATCATGTCTCTAGGGGACAGATTGTATCCAGGAAAAAAGATGCTTCCCCATTTCCTTACCTGTTGGTGGTAGCTGAGGTGACAAGAGTGGTTCCTCAGGTAGGAACAGGGGCTCCAGTGGCATCTCCTCATCAAGGGGGGCAACCTCAGGTGGTGATGGGACCTCAGGTGGGGATTCAACTTGGGTCCCTGCTTGCCCTGCAGACATAAGAGGTCAAATTCCTACCTAGCCATGGCTCCACAGGAAGTATAAGACAGGAGCAACTCCTACCCCAATATAACTGCTGTCCCAAAAGTCTTAGTGCAGCTGCCAACTATTAACACTTTAATAGCTGACAACTACCCTAATAAAGCTTTAATTATCAAACTGTCGATTTGGTGGACCTCACTCACCTAGTGGTTTGGCTTCACGCTGCAGTAGCCCTGGTTCCTCAGACTTTGTGGAGGCTTCCTCTTCCCCCTCCAGTTGTTCCTGGCATGCATTATCAAGATCATCAGGTGTACCAATGGGGGCAATGCCAGGCTCCGGCGATGGATATCTGCAAAAGGAATGGAGAAGCAGGCACTATAACCCTCTGTAGGGCCCCTTCCCTTGCTCAGCTGCCAACTCTATGTGGGCATCAAGGTATCGTGTGAGCATGTTACATGGCTGTAAGTGGCACTGTCTACCCCAGGGCACCATGAATATGCTTCCCATTCATCTGGGGAGGCTCTTGGCAATGGTAGCATTCCCCATCCCCCACTCGCCAAAGGCCCTCTCTCCCACTTACTTGTTACAGACAGGGGGGTTCTGCTCGGTATCAGGGCTGCCCATCCTCCCGCCCTGGGTGTTCTGCTGCCCCTGGCACCGCTCACACAGTGAGTAATTCTCATACCACTGGCAGTTGGGATCCAGCTCTGCTGGGCACGCCCCACAGGCTCGGCACACCCGGCACGTCTGTAGGGAGACAGAGAATATCTCGGGCATCGAGTCAGGTAGCAGAGGTGAGAGAGGGTGCCCAAGCAAAGGAAACCCTGTCCAGGTCAGAGGCCAAGAAGAAAAGCCTCAGGGACACTCACCTTGCACTTCCAAGAATCAGGGGGTAGGCTCTGAATGGCTGGCTTCAGGCAGAAGGTGTGGTAGCCCTTGTCACATGCCTCACAGACTAGCATCATGGAATCCTCCCCGGGCTGCCTGCAGGGTAGAAGGCACAATACAGGATCTTCCCCAGTTCCCTTCCCAGCTTTACCCGCCCTCCTCCCCATTTCCCAGCCTCTTCCAAACCCATACCCACCTGCAGGTTTGGCACACTTTGCAATCTGGGCACTGCCAACCAGCACGTTTTCGTGCAGTCAGAGCAGTGTCCAGACAGGCCCCGTGATAGTGTTGCCCACAGCTGGTACAGAAGAGTAGATCTCGAAGCTCACCCAGCCCATCACACACCACACAACGGGCATCCTCTAGTGGGGAGGAAAAATAAAAGTCATAGCATTCGGGGCAGCTAGGCGGCACAGTGGACAGAGTACCGGCCCTGGAGTCAGGAGGACCTGAGTTCCAATCCGGCCTCAGACACATAACACTCACTAGCTGTGTAACCCTGGGCAAGTCACTTAACCCCAACTGCCCTCACCAAAAGAAAAAAAAAAAAGTCAGAGCATTCAAGTAACCAGAAGCAGCTGGGTCTCAAACGTTTCCCCTTCCCAGGTGCTCACCCAGATGTGCGGCCTCCTCGCCATGCTCCAGACACAACAGCTGCAGAGTCTTCATAGACTGGAAGGAGCCACTGGCAGCAGCACAGGGGAAGTGGTAGAGCTGTGGGCATCCGGGCGATCGGCAGGGGATGGAAGCTCCCAGCCTGGAGCAATGGGAACAGCGCTGCCGAGGCAGAGACTTGGCCTCAGAGGTGGATGGGCCAGACCCGTAACTCCCCTCGGAGCTAGGACCCAGCTCCACATTTAACCACTTCCCACCGACCTCACCGAGCGTGCCGGCTCTCCTGAGCATGCGGATTAGAGACAAGGACGTCGAATCGCTCCCACCCTCTCCTGTCTTTTCCCCCTTGCCCTACCTGAGAGATCCCTGAGAAGACGGCCTTGTCCACTCCGTGCAACTCCAGCCCATCTCGGCCCTGTACTCCCACTGACCATGCTGCACACCAATGGTGAGCCCAGCAGGGTCCTATACAGGATAGTAGAGGAGAAAAGGGAAAACGATTAGCAGCGAGAATTCATCTCTCTCCAAATTATTTCCTGATTCCCCTTTTCCTCCCCAAATTCCTCCTTTTCCATCACCGCCCCCCCTCCAACTTTCTCCCATTCTTACCACCAGGCTTTCCCAGATGGGCAGGTGTCAAGCCCTCAGGGAAGCCAATCTGGGACAGATCATCACTGGGTGGCGCTGTCTCTCCAGGTCCAGGCCCGCCAGATGGCACTGCTGGACCCAGGGGCCAGTCTGGTGGAAGTTCAAAGCACCGCAGCTCCCGCTGCCCATGGAGACTCCATTCCCCACAGTTACAGAAGGCACAGCGCCGAAATGGGCCCTTGCTGCAGACACACAATCGTTAACACCCACCCCAGGCACGCCTATCAACCCTGGGTGGTAACACTCCCACCCCTCTTAAAATACTCCTATCTTTTAGCCCCTTCCCAAATTCTTCTGAAACCCATGGACTCCAAATCCCTGCTACAAACTTTAAAAAAAGCCCCAAAAAACCTAAATCAGAGCCCCTTACTCTCTCTAAGTCTCTATCCCTTATTTCCCATAGGCCAATTACCTGCAGTCCTGGGGAGGGTCCTGGGGCTTGGGGCTCCCTGGGCTGTGGACAGAGGCATCCCCCAAAGGTGGGTTGGGGGGGTCTGGCTCAGTGGGGCCTGACTCTTCAGAAGCTTCAGGCCCATCAGCTAGAAGGACAGAGGATGGATATTAGGCACTGTATAACATTCTGCCCAAAGCAGGTTGCTCCCCTGTCCCCACAAAATCATGGATAGAATCTCTAGTCTATCCTTACATCAAGAAAGTCTTTTGTACTGAAAAGAGAAAAACCTAGGAAGGATGGCCAGAGCCTAGAAATAAGAAGTAACATGATGCTACCCTAAGGTCTACTACTGCCCCAAAGGATATATATAGGCCTTAAGTCTATGAGGTAGCTACTGCTCCCTATCACCAGGTACACTCTCTGTCCCTGTGCCAGGAATAAGTTTTCAAGACACCACCCACCTACTTTAAACTTCCTATGCTCACCTGCCGTCTCTGAATCTTTATCTTCACCAGAGGGCTTTGGGTCGTCCATTCCTCTCTCCGACTGGGCAGTGCCCTCCCGGGGACACCTGGCAGCACAAATATAAAAGCCCAAGATGCCACCTTTGACACACTAGCACTCCTTTCATAGTATTACAGACGGAGGGACGGTTGTGTACCTAGACACTGCGAGTACTGAACCAGGCCCTGGAGTTCTGATCCCTTCTGCTAAAACAGGCCTCCATTCCCTTCATCCCTAGAGACCTGCCCACAAAAGGGTACTTGGGTCAGAAGGACTCCAATCAGAAGTACATCAAACACCAAATGTGCTTCCCCTCCCATCCCCGTCTTTCGGCAAAGCTTCGTGTACCCTGCTCAACACCCTCAAACAGAACCAGCTTGAACCCATATAGAAGTTTCATTTCGGCCACCATCCGAAAGCTCAGCAGTGCCAGGCTCCAACCTCCTCCCTCCCTGACCCACGCTGTCTCCCCCACACACAGCCTCTCAGAAGGGAAAGCTCCATTGGAAGAGGTCAAGCACCCATCCACCTCTTTTCTGGGGACACATAGCCCAAATTGGGCTTCACCAAGGCAGTGTTTGGGGTCTTCCCTGACAAAGAAGAGGAGATAGGAGAGATTCCTCAGTGCCATAGCCCAGCCAAGGACTGGCCCCACAACAGATCCCCAAGTTTAAACTGGGGCTTCATTCTGAAGGGAGTTTCTCTCCCCCACCCCTCATTGGCCCCCTGACAGAGAAGCTGGCCCTAATTCCTGTCCCCACCTCCCCTCCCATCCTAATGAACCAGCACAGTTCCCTCCCCCTTGCTCCACCAGGGGTCTCACCTAGCCTGGAGCCCCCAGGCTGTTGCCCCTAGCAACGACAACAGCCCTTCCTTTTTAGATGCCCCCAGAAGCAACAGAAAAGGGCCCTGAGAACTACTGAGCATGTGTAACCGGGCCTACCGCCAGGCATGCTGGGAGTTGTGGTCCTTGGAAACACATTGCCCCAACAGGAGTTCTAAAGCAGAGGACTGAGCAGTTTCCTTCCCCTTCAGCTAAGTGGGGTTTCTTACATACTCAGTGGGGAGAGGCAGGGGGTGGAGAAAGATGAATAAAGGTGGCACACACTTGAATGAAGGCCTGACTGTTTCAGGGCCTGCACTACCTTAAAACAGACATACACTGCTCCTCCAAATGGGAGAAAGAAATCAGGAGAGGGATCTGTCCTATTCTTCCATACACCAAGCACTTTGTCCACTAGAAAGCACTGCATAGGAGCATAGGCAGTTGATATACTATAGGGTTTGTTCCTGGCCCTCAGATTGAGTCTATCCTATATGTAGGATGGGGGGAGGGGGCGGAAAGGAGGTCAGGGAAGGGGAAAAACATGGGAAGGAGCAGATGTTTGTAGTTCTTAGTGCTAAGATTTGGGGACTGTGTGAGTGAGTAGTCAGTCTATATAAAAATTTTGAAAATTGCTCCAAAAGGATGAAGGTCTCACTTTTACAGCAGAGCCAAACTTGCTCAGCCATGTCTCACCTTTCCCATACCTCTGAACAGAGGGAGGGGTTATATCAGCCTCAGGACAGCCCCCCCCCAATCCACAAATTAAAGGCAGATAATCCATCTGGACCTTTTCAAGTGATGCTGGAACAAAGGAAATAATAGGACTCCTCCAAAAGTTCTCAGGACCAGAGAATAACCCAAAGACCTCAGTACCTTCCCTAGGCTCATATGCCTCCAGAATCATGAGACCTGAGTCTCACTCCTGGGACACTTCTCAGGAAAAAAAAAAAATCCCTTCAATCTCTATCCTGCAAATGGTGCATCATTCCACATCCCACACCCCTTTCCAGAAAGCAGTTTTCAGGAGAGGACACCCAACTGACTCCCACTATCTTCAACCACAGAGCATCTCTCTTCTCCTTCTCAATTCACCTATATCTGTGACTGAAAAGGACAAGACAGAACAGCCACTTAATCATCCTATCTACCTGTCAGTTCCACGGAAAACGTTCGAAGGATACCTTTGGGAAGAGGAGTTATAGAAACTAAGATTGTTCCAGAAGAATTAGAGCATCTCCTGCCCCTTGTTCCCATTTGATCAACCAAACCCTAATCATATCTAGGAAGTTTGAGAAACTCTCAAAATTTCCTAAACAGAGGCAACAACATTCTACTACCTCCTGTTCTCCCAACCAGGGACTCTCTACTCCATTGACTTTTCACCAGAGTTGAGGCCAAAAGAATCTTAAAAGCAAGGAGGGGAGGGAAGGAGACCAAAAACAGTGATAATGCTGTGGGGTGGGAGGAGAACCATCTCGTACAAGGCCAGAGGGACAAATTCCTCTGTCCTCCCCCGAGTACAGCCCTCTCACGCTGAATAGCCTGGCACTATTAGGGAAGAAATGGCCACCCACCCCACTGAGACAGGGTAAGTGACATCAGCAATTCCCCAAGCTATATCCTTAAAAACCTGAGTCCTCTAAAAAGCTTCAGAACCTTTAGCCCCTACCTCCCCAACTCTATTTTGCAGATAAGACAGGCACTTCTAGTGCCTGACCTAGGCTAGCACCAAACATCTTCCCTACACATCTCTCCTCTCTTGTTCAAGTCCAAGCATATATTCATGGGCAGCAGTCATAGCTCTCAAGTTTCCAAAACCCATTCCTTAAAACCTCCCTAATTCTAAATACTGAAGACTGGGTTTTTCACCCCAACATTCTCTTTTGCCTGTCAGCAATCAAGACTCATTTCCAGTTCAATCCTTTCCCACAAGAGAAAGATCTCCCAGATTACTATAAAAATATTATCTGGCAGGACTTAGGCAAAGGAGAGTAAGGAGAAGACCTAGGAGGACCCCAGAAAGTGAGGAGAGAGAGACTGAGTGGTTTTGCTTACTTTCCCAAACAAAATGCCCTAAGGAAGAAAGGAAAAGAGACTAGTTTTATTTCAGCTCTATTCCCCCTCCCCACCCCTACCTTTACCCCCCCCCCACACCCATGCCAACTGTTCAAGTCTCCTTTTCCCAGAAAATCAGGAAACAGGGGCCTAGGGAGGTGAAGGGCCTAACCAAGCCTTTGAGTGAACAGCTAGTTCTGCTGAAGAACTCAGGACTTCCTTGTTCCCAGCCTAAAGATCAGACCACACCTCTCTTCACCCTTATTTTGGGGAAAGCCCCCCCCCCCAGAAAGGACCCTAAAGATAGAAAGCTGTCCCTATGGATTCCCAGGGCTGTCCCTGGCCTACTCTGGGGTCAGCCACACCTAACTAGAGTAATACTGGGGGGGTGGGGGAAAGAGTGAGGGTTTAGAGACTAGGAGACTCTATCAATGAATAGGGTTGGAGCCTCCAAAGAAGAGATGGAAACAAGAAGCACTGATACCACCTCATTTTACACCCCTACCAATGCCATCTCTCACTACAGGGTTAACACCAAGAAATATTTCAAGGACAGAGCCCATACTTCCCTAGTTTCTAGGCTGGGCCCAGGGAAACCTGGGGTGGGGGAGGGGTGGGTGGGAAGCGGAGACTCAAGTCAAATCCCTTCTGGACAGCGTGACAGGTGGGGAGATTGAAAAGAAAGGCACCTGTCCCAGTACAAAGCCAGGAGAAGTGAGTATAATACTATATCCTGAACAAATGCCCAGCACCCTGGTCATAGGCCCTCTAGCAGAGTCAGCATTGATCTGGCCACTTCCCCTCTGAGGAAGGCAAGGCCACCCTATTTGCCCAGCCGGGGCAAATCAGAGGACCAGGTTAAGCCCCACTTGGGAAAGGGTTAGAGAGGTGTGGGAGGGGCCAAAAAGGGCAGGCGGGAATAGCCAGGGGCTCATGGGCAGCAGACCCTCCAGGCCAGACACGGAGAAAGCCACAAACAAAAGCCATTTTTTCCGGCCCACATTCGCAGGAAACAAATCTCTCCAGCCTCCTCTATAATCCTCTGGAGATTATGTCCATCCCCAAGAGAGAGAAGGCAACAGGACTGCGACAGCATTAGGCCTCAGGGTGGTCACTTTGCTTTACTGGATAGGGGGTAAATTTTTTTTTTTTTTGGTTATGCATCAGGGCCATCTCTTGCTTCCTTC